GTAATTCCAAAATGCACATTCCTGTTGCATAGGAATAGGGGAAGCCCGATATTCACATTTGCATGTAGCACCCCTGTGCTTCAACTGGAGAAAAGCCTTATCAAAAACACACTAAGGCAAAGTAAAAGTGCAGTCCTTGCTCCCATCAGTTTGGTGGGGGTATTTTCAGTACCAGTAACACAACAATGTTTATATCTTATTTCTGCTTTTCATGGTGATAGTTATGATTCAAGAAAGTACATACCACAAGCTAAAATATTAGTCGACTAAGGTATACATTGAGAAAAAAGCCTTAATCTTCTCTATTGCTGATCATTACCATCTGCTGATGTAAACCAGCTTCATGCAATTTACACTTTTTCTGATTACATTTGAACAGTTACACCGCAGTAGCCAAGTTTAAGATGTGCTCACTTTTTTTTTTTTTTAAAGTAATTGAACAGTATTAGATTCACCATTTTTTCCCCAGCAGACGCTAGCAGAATTTAAACATTTTGGGCAGTGTAACAAGAAGCTAGCTTTTATTTTCTATTGTTTAATTTAAGCTTGCAGATCCCTAGGAAGAATTTGCTTTTGCAGAACACTTAAAGCCCCTGCCCCACAGTTGGGATGCTTCTGCATTTTAGCAATAAGAAGTTTCTTGCACGCTGTCTATAGAAACTTGTTTCTTGAAAGCACTATCTATAGAAAACTGCTAATGCATTTTATTAGTTCCAATTAGCCGGGATAAGCATGGCCTACACAGAACTTAGTTGTCAAGAAACAGTCTGACTACATTACATTCTAACACCACATCCCCATGGCTGATGCTTCCCTTCCCTGCAACTGAAAGACGCTTGCTTGCTCTAATCTACAAATTGCACTGTCACAAAAAACAAAGACCCTCAAAACAACTAAGGTCCGCACAGTACCGTCAACATTTATAACCTCTGACAGACAATGCACGCTAGAACAACAAAAAGACACTTTTTTGAGAGGCAGAAGCATACACAGATGAGATTCTAAGCTGTATCTTCAGACATTAGCGTTCTCTTTCCAGCTCTACCACCAAGCTGCCTTCTGACACCTTCTCCTTGCAGACAGAAGTTCCTTGCTAAAAGCTGGATTTCATGGTATGTAGCTGGTGAGGGGGCAGGCAGACAGGAGGAAGAAAAGCAGCTTCTCAGTTTTTTTCACCTCCTCACAATATTACCATGGTTTAGAACATAAGTTTGTCCACAGCATCAGCATAAAGTTAAGTGCCAAACTACAAGGCAGGCAGTCACTATTCTCCAGATTGCTTTACCAAAATATTCGGTACAATCCTCCTTTGTGCCTATGCTGACAACACTCTGCATGCCAGTAACTCGCAAAATGACCTAATAATCAATACTGAAAAACATGGCAAAAGGACAGTCTGCTAAAGTTTACTTTTAATAAATACAGAAAACCTTTGTAAAGGAGCAGCCAAAAAGACCAGGTTGGGCTCCATTCCAGCTCTTTGGCATAATACTTGTTCAATTAGCATTACAGCCAACACTTTAAAATTTGGCCGACACACCCAGGAAAGTGGCTCCCAACACTCTCTGTGTGTTTATACAAATAGCCAGGACGGAGCTTACACCAGCATTCTTAGGGTTTGTTTGTTTTAAAACGGAGAGCCTGATTTAGGGATTTCTTCGTCACGGAACTAGGGCAGGACAAAAGGATTTCTCCAATACCTACGCTGAGTTTTCTGTTGTGAAGATGGGATGAGCCCATCTGCATTTATTCTACCTTCAAAGAAAAAGTTGTGCTCCTCTATAGGTGCAGTTTCACTTAACGCTTATTTATGTCTAACTGAACTATTGCCAAAAGATGCAGTTTCAGTCCTGTTACTACCTCATTCCTTGCATACATCCTGCTTCCCTGCATCGATTCAAGCAGTTGCAGAATGAGCCAAGTTAGCTTTGCTGATCCAAAAGAAAATTAACCAAAAAAGCAGACATTCCCATCCAGAGTAAATGCAACTTGAAGCCACACATCCCCCAAAATTGCAACACTACGCACATCAGAACGCTTCATTTCTAAGGCCTTTTTAAAAGGCATGGGACAAGAGATCTGGAAATGCTGTGCGTTCATCAGACCTGAGGATAATTCGGATGGGAAGGGACCTCAGGAGGTCATCTTGTCCAAACTTCTGCTCAAAGCAGATATATTCATCCAGGAGATGAAAGACATAATCTACTTACTATCAAGAGCTGTAAAGGTTAAGTGACCTGTTAAGGTTAAGGAGGAGGTAAATGAAGCCTAAGAAAGGCTCCTCAACACATTCACAACATAAAAAGGGAAAGGGGGGTAGGGAAGCCTGGCTACCCAACTTTGGGGGTTTTTTAAACCAATACTCACTTCCACTCAACAGGAAAACTGGATCAGCTCCAGTTTAATCAGCGCTGCACCTACCTGGATCACTATATTGCCCTAGCAAGGTGAAGGGAACTGAAAAAACAGCAAGGCATACAGGATCTTCTGCAGAGACACAGGAAGCACAGTAAACTGAAAACTCCTTATTCTGTTGCGAATGGCTTATAGACTCGGGCCTGCTGTAGAAATGGCACTTCTTTGGAATATTTGCCTCTAGTTAACCTAGAAAAAGCACTCATGCAAGCGTCGCTATTGTTACCAGATACGCAGATTCTCCTCATTTTCTTAAATCAGTGCGATCCGGGATTTGCCCGCTTTGTTTGGACAGAAGACAGCATTGGCAGAGCGTGCCAGTCACACGTACGTACGCTCTCCTGTCCTTTGCCTACGCAGCGCATCACTCAGCAGAGCCACTACTGACACCTGAATTTCCAAAGCATCGCTGCGTTATACATCATGCAAATAAACAGCCTTATATCTGCACCACTTACTACAGTCCTAAATAGCTCTCATTTAGGAGACAAAAAGAGACAAGAAGGGGTTGATACTAATTTTTGCTAATCAGGAGCAGATTTTTTTAGTTGTTTGTTTGGGGTGGAAAAGAAGGAATAAAAAAAAAAAAAAAAAGAGAGAGAGACCAGAGAATAGAGTATAAATCCTCCATGAGGGAGCCTATTATTCTAGACCAAACACCCCTCCATAAACCCCATTTTTGTACACGGCTTTGGGAGCATCACACAATGTAGATATTACTGCTGTAAGTGCTAACACATCTACCCCAGCGGTTGCTAAGTAAGTTTTACCCTGCTGCGTTACTCACTGCCTGGTGGATGTCAGCCTTCACTTCTTCACTCAGCATTCCCTCAAACACAAAGGAATCGCCAAATTTCTCTGCCTATAGAAAGAACAAAAGATTCAGCTACATTATCAAAAGGAACGTTAGTCTTGAAACGCCACTCACGTTTACAGCTTTATTTTATCAAGGATAAGGAAATTCTAATAGCAATTTTGAGTTCTCTTTCAAGGAAGCTGTTTTGGAGCAGAAGGCATTTTATATCTGGATGTCGTGGTTCTTCAACAGCCACTGGACAGATGGCAGCTCACAGAGCTTCAGCAAATGTTTTTACTTCTATTAATTAAAAATGCAATTCCAATTGTCCCAACTGCTTTTAAATGCTACAGTCAATAACCTAACATTCAAAGGCATATTTCATTTCTCTTATTTTTCCTTTGGGAATCACAATAAAAGACTTAAGCCTTGTCACTTACTTCTCCTTCATCATCACTAGCACCATGTTTTAAAGTGCTGTCACAACAACAGTGCAAGAATTAAAAGTAACCCAATCATTGTATCTAGCATTATATAGAGCCAAAAGAAACAAAAAATACAAATAATTTCAACGAATCACAGTACACAATACTAACATAGGGGTTTTTTTCCCTTGGTAAACTAAGTGAATTGATATCCTAGGGAAGTCAAAACATGTTATCAGAATTCAACACATTTGCCCTTCTCAATTTCTTCATTTTATTATAGGCATTCAAAGCCTGAGAATGATAACCACGAGCTGCTTCTGCACACTCAGAACTCTTCAAGAAGCACAGTTTAAAAGAAGGATCCTACTCACCACACAAATTGCAATAAGCTTTAGCATATGACCGTAATCTTTATATATTCAGTTTCAGAAAGGGAAGAAAAAAAAAAAAATACTCAATTTCTCTCACTTGCCCAATCTGAAAGACCCAAAAGACACAACCAGGTTTAGCAGAGAACAAAAAAACCCCTTATTTTTTCCTTTCCTGCCCAATCTGAGAGACCCAGACAGAGGGTTTATCACATAAAGGACCCAGCTTTCAGGCTGACAGCCTCCATAGAGGGCTTTTTCTTTTTTTGGAAGTTTGTTTAAAAAATACTTTTGGTTGAACAAGATAGCTGTGCATCTGGAGATTTTTTCTCCTTCATCTTTCTATTTACTTTCAGGTTTCATTTGCCACTGGAGTTCAGTCTAGACCTTGATAAAAGGAAACCGAGAAGTAGGTTGGCTCTGTTTACCCGCAGTAAGTAGTGTGGACATTATTTAAATACACAAAAAACAGCTCAGTTGCATCCCCCAAGAAACCTGCAGAATCAGTGCTGTTTACTCTAACTCTGAGTTTATTTTTCCAAATTCACTGTAAAAGGGGGCCTCACGTGAGGGGAGAAGGGAGAAAGCGTAGTGGAGCACCCAGCTACACCAGCTGAGCCACGAAGCGCTGTCTGAAACAGACTCCATCTGATGCAGCGCTACATTCAAATACCCCCACACATGTGCTCATTCCAGAAGCTGTTTGCAAGAAGTAAGCCCTGTTCAAACTCAAAATTGTTAAGCAACCTTTTTTCATAGTTATTGAGCTAAGAACTTAAAAACAGAAATAGTGCCATAGATAAAAAGAAGCCCTTCATCCAACCAGAAGGATCCTGTGTTCCAAATGAGAACCAGTTTATCAAGTGAATTCAGCAAAGTGCCTCCTTTGAGACCTGATCATTACCCAGGCTTTTTATTTCCCTAAAAGGCCTGTCAGGGTTTTATAAAAGTTGCGTAGGAACAGGCAACTGTCAGGAAAGATCACAGCCTCAGGCACAGGTAGCTTCTTTCTTGGAATAACCTTAACATATTTTTCCTCAGTCCATTGTTCCCAGTAACATGCACAAAACTATTATTATACTTGCTCTTATATCTTCTTTAGACAGCAGGGCTTTCTATTGCTCAGCTCATTAGCAAGTAGCTGCGCTGAACTAGCCTGCAGAGCCCTCCGCTATTGCAGGTTTTTAAATCCCTTCTCCCCTCTTCCTCTAAAATAAGGAAAATCTAACAACATAGTTGTAGTGGTACAAAGATGTCCTAGGACCCAGAGGTCAAAAAAATAAAACCCAAACAACAACAAAAACCCAAAAAAACCCTGCATAGACATTTTCAGCCATCTGTTTGCTTCACCCAGGCTGCTTCAGTCATACTGCAGGGAAGATATTAGTTCAGATATCAAGACACTTGCTAAATGTAACAGTCTACATCTAGATGCCCTTTCAGACCCCTGGGCAGCAAGGCAAAACAATTTTCTCTCTACACCACTTACATCAGAAATATTCTAGCACGCAAATCCCAAGCAAGTATTGTGACATTCTTCAAAACAGAAAAGCCTAAGCTTTTAATGGGGATTTTGCCAACACAAAGAAAGATGACAGGAGACTGTATGCCTTTCCGCCTTACCTCAGTAACGTACCCAGTAGAATTCACAAACGTCTCGAACTCCTCATTGCTGACCTCGTACTGATCCATGTAGAAACTGTTAACGTGGACTCTTCTAGCAGGCCATTCTCCATCTTGCTGTATTTCAGGCTCATCAGTGCCCATTGTGAACACTCCTCCTGGAATAGCGACCATCTGCAGGGAAAACACCAGCCAAAAGATTATGAAAATGAAAGACTGAAAAGTCTCTTTCTGGTCCTACTCCTCCTCCACCTCATCTCTGGAGGTGCTTTTGCTTTCAGCAGCATTTCACTGACAAAAGCAGCACAGCAAAATGGCAACAGTGGCATCTTGATCACCACCTGTTTGCAAGAAAAAGCAAGCAGAGCTTAAATTGAGAACAAAACCCCCATTTTTAGCTCTTTCTACACGAAGCCTAGGTAATTCAGAACTTTTTACTGAGGGTAACACTTGTGCTGTAACGAGGAGAAACATGTTCCCTTACTGCACCTAAGAGCCAAGAAACAATCCAGAGTCCTTTCTACTCATTTTCAGATGAGAAATTTTGGCATTTCCCTCTATTCCTAGGAGGGCTTGATGCATCAATGAAGAATCTGGAGATTAGGAAACTGTAAAGTGCTCTTTTGTGGACAAGCCTATGCTTGTTTGCATACTAACTACACATGGTTTTTTATTTAATAACAGGCATGTGCAGCATTGTATTACCAACCATGCTGCTAACTGGCAAGTAGACACAGCACCTGCAGCTCTGCGTGCCAGAAACGAGACAAACTTTCAAGTCGATTATATTCCACTCTTCTGGAAGACTGGCCTTGGGCAAGAGCCTCAAGCTTCATAAGGGCGAGTGACAGAGTAACATTTGAACTATTTCAATAAGATGTTTTCCCTTTAAGGCCTCGGTCAGCTTCCAAAGAAACAAAACACATTTTCCCGCAGCTTTAGTGGGCTCTTTCCAGGAAGACAAAGGCTCCAGAGGTCTTGTCATGCCTCATCAGATGTTTCCTGAGAGCCCTCCTAAAGACCAGAGACTGAGCAATGCACTCCTCACCCAAGAGCAACTCACCCAAAAAACCAAGAGCACCCACGATGCCCACTCAGAAGAGGAATGACAGCTCAGGCTGTGTAAAATCTTCCCAATGGGCAGGTGATGTTTCAAGGGCTGACGCTACGCAAGAGCTAGCTTGCCAAGAAGTTACCCAACCAACATCACCACCAGATGAAAGAACTGGGGAAGAAAACTACTTCTTTCTTTTCAGTATTCCTGAGCTACCTTCACCCCCTAACTCGCGCTGAATTCAGCCACCTCACTCCTCCTCTGGCCACGGTCAGAGGTTTGTGAGTGGGTGAGCCCCAAAAAAGCCAGCCAGCACTGACACAGGCATCCACGGGGGAAAATAATCTGGCATATCACATTGCCCTGAACACACCTTGGCAGTGATCTGTGGTCACACACTACTCTCACAAGGAATTCAAGCAGGCGGACCAGTGGCAGAACCCGAAATGAGCAAAGCCACTTCCAAGAGATAGCAACTTTTTTTTTTTTTTTTTTTTTTTTTTTAAGAGCCTGATGTTTGGTATGCCGGAAATTCAAGTCTAAGAACAGAAACGTTCACTGAGAGAGAAGTCTCTGGAGTTGCATACTTCTAACACTACTCCAGAAGTGCAGTTTAAGTTCTGACAGAAAAAGAAGCCTGGGTTTTAGACGTATGAGAGTTTAAACAAAATTCCATATACGTATAGTGCAAGAACACAGTATGCAACACGTATATTAAAAGCAGCCACACTGCAGAGACAGGGTTGTAAAAATTGTGAACCGATGTAACATTATTTAGATGAAGAGGCAGGTTCACAGAACCAAATGTGAACTTTGTACAACAGCCATTTTGCAGCACGGCCTAGATTATAGGACCTTGATTCTTCTATAGTTGAATTTTTGGGGTTTTTTTTCATACTTTACAAGATTCTCTTCATAAAGTTGGGTGCTTTCACCAAAACCATTTATCTGGATGCCCACACCGACTCACGAGAACCAGGAAGACAAAAAGAACTATTAGCTACCTTCCAGCTTCTGGAGTTTACTGTTATTTACATAGTTACAACACCACCAGCATACCAAGTGAACAGTAAATAAGTTCACATCAGCTATCCAGCACCTCTTCCTATTCTCAAGGGAATTTGGAGTACTTGACATAACCTTACATACCCAGTTTCATTGTTCCTTCTCCACTACAGATCTCTCCTTTCACTTGGGTCTCTCCCAGCGACACTTAAAATTCACACAACTTGCAGAAGGCCTGTAAGAAGCGCTACAAATACTTTTGCCTTTGAAATAACCACGTTTGAAGCTAGCTGCATCCTCATAACTTTTTCTCCACTAAAAAGAATCTGAGCACTTACAGATTGCCTTTAACTGAATCCATAAAAGGGCTTCAGGATAAATTTGCTTACATTTTTTAGGACTTAGGAAATGACAACGTGGTACGAAGTTGCACCACTTCCTTCCTTCCAATCTCTTTCCAGCCCACTGTAGCTAAAACAACTCCTTGAAGCAATCTGCAAAACAAGACTCAGAGCTCACTAGTGAGCTGCTGTCTAAAAGCATGTGAAAAAATAACTTGCTTTACAGCCTAGTATTCTTTTCCAAAACCTGAAAAATCTCGATAGATTGCCAGCGTATGTTCAGCTAGGAGCGTCCAAAGGCTTCCTTCGGAACCTGCTGCTTTTGCAGCCCTCTCACACAGTTACAGCCGAGACTTCTGGCATGTCCACCACTGTTGTGTCCAACACCGATACCAAGTATAGATTCCATAGGATTATCCTCCCCACCAAGGCTCATTTCACAGCTCCACCTCCTGTTTGGAAATAGGAGCTTCCTTTGATGGCCAGCTTTATGACGACACTGCATCATAGGCTGCAAGGCTCAGATGTCTCACAGCGCTCTTCAGGTGAGAACAGTGGAATACAACACTAAGCGAAGAACAGATTTTCTGCATAGACATCACATCCAGAAACCACATTTGTATAGTTAATTAAGCAGCTTTAACATCTAGTTTTAAGAAACCTGTAGCTAACACTGAGGAACTAGTCTCTAATAAATATCAAAGTGGAACTGTGGAGGCAGAAATCCAGCAGATACATCATTTACCATGTTAGGTAGAGCGTGCAACAACAACTGCCTGTATCTTCCCAATATTACTTAGCTAGCGCATGCAGTTCATGGTCCTCAAAGCTCAACTTCAACAACGGTGACTGCATTTGCCTATGATTACAATCACGTTGAAAGCATTATGGTAATGCAAAGCAGACCCACTAAAGTACTAGGATCCCCGTTTCTAAAGACGCAGTAGAAAGAACTCATCTCAGTTGAGGTAGAAGCCAGTTTTTCCCTCACTTCCCTTCTGGTAAAAATGTTTTCTAGCTAAGCATAATCAAGTTACATTATGACCCTGGCTTAAAATCCAGCAGCAATTAGTTTTCATTATCTGTTGTTGAAGTTGCCAGCTTCCTTGCGTGAAGTAAGGGTCAAAGGATTTTTTCACCCTACAGTGAGACCCACAGCAAAATGCTGAAATTTATTACATGAAACATATATCAGTGACATAGAGCCCAAGTGCTACACAGATTATTTAATTCATACTCTTTAAATACTCTCAAATTTCTAAAGTGCAGCCTGCAATAGTAAAGTCATGATTACCACTGTGCATCCTTCCCTTTTCTTGGTAAGTCTGCACACTGCCTGTGTGACACAGGCTGTTTCCAAGCTGACGCAGCTTCCCAGCACTACAACACCAAGAGGCAGCTAGAGAGGCAGCCCCTCACAATTTTACTATTTGCAACCCATCTCACACAAGACCAAGGCCCAAGTCTGCTGGGATATAATTTTGTCTGCCAAAGTTTACCTGGCACCTTTCATGAAATGAAAACAGCAATCCCATTTCTAGTAACTGGAGGTATCTCAGCCAGCGAGGCATTTGGTCTCCAAATAACCTCAGTATCCCTTTGCAGCAAGGGCACATCAAAACACTTTAAAAGCTGCCTTCATCAAGAAAGGACATTCAGCTCTGGACGGCATCTTTCAGAAGAGCAGCAACAGCAGCAGCAATAGAAAGGAATAAGCAATTTGAAGAGACTTTCACGTGAAGAGAACCTGAAGGGATATCTAGACATGGATACAGAAATGCTGGCTTTGCTGAAGTACACACAAGAGAGCTGAAACATCGCTTGTTGGCGTTTCAGTTCCACTGGTAGCAGCACAGACCCAAAAGGGAGGGGTGGGGGGGACCAGAGCCACAGCAGCACGGACATTCAGCGAGTAAGGGCCTACAGGAACC